TGGCTGAGTTCTTTGTGGCGCCCAGGGCCAAATGGAAATGCAGGGTCCTTTATTCAGAATGGGGCTAAAATATAAAACTTTCTTCTTGCTTCCATGGCCTCTTCCTTGGCCTGGTCATGGTGTTTTTTTAATTTGCCACTTAACATCATTCTAACTAAAAATTTTTATTTATTTACTAGCGTAAATTTGACCATTCATTTTCATATTTTTAAGCACCAGTTTGAAATGCAGATAGAAGAACATTTAACTAATATGCAGAATTCCCAAAATTTCACAACTTATGTTTCGTAGCTGGTATGTGCCTGTGTATTTTGTTCTTATCAGAATAACAGGATGCTGGGCAGAACTAAGGAGAGTGTTTTTATTTCACTTGTTCAGCTGTGCACTTTCTACGACACTCTCTACCTTTGATTTACTGATAACTAAGGAAAGACTGGAGAGAAGAGGACCTGTGGCTCGCCCTATCCGTCCCTTTCCTTCAGTGCCATCATTTTCAGCCTAAATGATCGACTAACACAGAGAAGTAACACGTAAAGAAGAAAGGAAATGACAGGGTTCTTTGGTTTTTCTGTTTCTTTGAATGCTCTGCCTTTTTTGAAAAAACCGAGATACAATTGAAATATAATATGCTGGTTTCAGGTGTACAGCGTAATGATTTGATATGGATATGTACTGCAGAATAATCACACAATTAGTCTAGTTAACCCATCGCTATGCATAGTTACTGTTTTCTTTTCCGTGTGATGCGAACGACCTTCTTTCTTTATTTCAAACCAGTTCTGGTGCAGGCTGAACTGTCAGCCTCTCAGGCTGTCAGTACCACCACTTGCACAGTCATAGACCTCATGTGCTTACCTTGTACTTGTTTTGAGTCACGCTGCCCCATGGTAGGTCTGCACAGTGGGTCTGCTGGAATTCTTTGCTCATTGGGGACCCTGAGTGTGAGACGATGCTAGCGCAGTAGCAGGGCATCCACACAGGCACACAGATTGTGCATGTCTCCTCTGTCCGCGTGCACTCTTCACTGTCACATCAGGCGTCACTCACAAAACACAAGGTCAAAGAGAAAAATATTAAGCATTTCAAGTTAGTGACATGAGAGCATTAAACCAAGTGCGGGGCCCTGCTGAGCATGAGGTCCTGTGTAACTGTTCAGGTTGTGTGTCCAAGAAGTCAGCCTGAGTTAGGAGACAGAACTTTATTTTTTTTTATTTTACAGGTGAGATAGTGGCGGTGGGAGGGTTAGTAACATACTTAAGCTGAAACAAACAGAAATCGGAGGAGCCTGGATTTGAACTCTGGTCTGTCTGTCTTATCCCAGAGCTCACATTTCCAAGTGTTCAGTGCTGTGATAACTCAGCTATGCAACTGCCCACCCATGACCACTAGTGGATTTTATTAATCTAAAAATAATGATCGATTATGGGCTATAAAGTGTCCAAATTACTCTCCCTCTCCATTCATTCTGGGTAGCACTTGACCAAAGCGCCTTGTCCTTTATTGCACTTTCTATTTTTTGGAAAACCTTCTTTCTCAATACCTTTGATCATCATCACAATCTTAGGAAAGACTTAGGGCCATTACTCTTTTTGTAGGTGAGGAAATTGCGGCCAAATGCACAGAGTGACTTTCCAAGGTTACTCCTTCCACAGCAGAGCCAAGTCTGGAGTTCTTTCCCAACAGGTCACCTCTTGAGCCCAAACTCAAATAAACGTAGCAGGACTTATGGCCATGTGATAAGGGAAGGAAGAATATTGGCTCGTAAAACACAACGAGAATTTCAGATTGCCTTTACATAACAGGGAGCAAGATTTAGCAGAAAGAATCTATGAATTGAAGTCAGAGAGATTGGACCTTAAGTATACTTATAGGTCTACCTGTTAACTGTGTCAACTTGGCAGTTTCCACTTCTGAGCACCAAAAGCCTCCTGTGAAAAAAGGGGTATTTATACTTACTCTGCAGGACTGTTCTGTCAAATGAGAAAACTTGTGAGGCTCTCTAAATGTTTGTTTCCCCGTCCCTACTGGTCACGATCTGCTGGTTGTATGGACAGCAGAGAACTCAGTCTAGCATCCGCTATTCCAGAGAAGCCGGGCTGGCCGAGGGCAAATTCAGGGTGAAGGGAACGCCTAGAGTCTTCCCATGTTCCATTCTTTATCTTCACACAGTGTCTGCTTCTGCTTCTATTGCATCATCAATATTTATGTGTGAAGAAGAGACACTATCAGGCAGGCACTATAATTAATACATAAAAGACGTGCTAAATGCATGAGGCTGTGGACTTTCCAGTCTTTATATGATACCAATTCAGAAACTTCCTTGTGAAGTCATTTAAAAGTCTGAACGAGTGGGTAGTTTGGCCACACTTCCCAGGCTTGAAATCATTATTAATTTCTTTAGTACTGTAGTAATGTTGCTTTAGATGAACCTTTATCATATAGAAAGTGTATAGTATTTAGCAGTAATTAACATCCTTTAATTAGGAAGAATCGCCAAGCAGTTTTCTCTCTTGGCTCTGTCGTTGGCAAAGTGCAGCTGGATGCAAATTCAGCTTAATCACAAAGGGAACAGCTTGTGTTTTATGTTAAATTTGGTTTTAATGGATTAAAAATATTCTTTGGTATTACATTTTATCATAAAAAAGGCACACTTGAATCAATCACTCATGTTGTAGAATGTAAAGATTCCAAACGTCAGAAACCTTATGGATAAAACCATTCACCGAGAGATGCACACACAGGTTATAAAGTGAGTGTAGAAACTTGATGTCTGTCCATATGCTCATCGAGTCGTGCGGGTCTTAGTACTGGCTTTGCTGTTATTATTCCTCTAAAGCACAATATACAATTTCACATTTTCATGTGCGTTTTTAGCCAGTGTTACTCCTTGCTAACCAGAGAGGCATTTAGGCAATTGCTGGATATGAAAATTGCTGACATTTTCTGAATTTCAAATGACAAATGAGATGTTCCTGTCGGTTTACTGTGTATCTCCAGAGCATATGGTGCTTCTGCTGGTGGGTGTTATTTCAAAGTTTGCAGATCACACCATGAGAAAGTCCCTCTGGTGGGCTCCTGGAACACTTAGCAACTGTGAATGCGAAATGACAGGGCAGAGGGAAAAGGCTTTAAAAAAGTGCCTTGTTTGTTTGACAGTGAGAAGGAAGTACAAAGTGAATGATAAGTTAATACAGGGAGGGTAGAGAGGGTAGAGACCCCGATCTAGCAAAAGAGAAAAAAAAAAGCAGTTTTCCCTTTTATAGGACAAACCAGAAAGTTATCTAAATTTTTAAAACAGTATATAGTGTCAGATTTCAGAGAAAGAATAAGAATGAAGAGACTCGCTCGAATTAGAATAATTGTCAACTATGTTACACAGAAGCTTAGAAATGAAAGGGAGATTGTTTCAAGGGATAGAGAATAGGGCCAAAACTGTATCTACGCCGGAAATCGCAAAATAACTCTGAATAATGACGATTTGCAAAGAAAGCCTCTGTTATTCAAAATGGGGCTGCTTATTTAAAACCCGCTCTCGGCGGAGCCCTGTTCCCTTCACTGCAGTCTGTCTTGATGGATCACTTCGTGTTGCTTTGTTCAATGATGCCAGCATCGCAGCACGTTTCTATACAGTGGTCAAGCCTCCAGACAATTTAGTGGAAAAGTCAGGGAAATTGGTTGCTGGAATTAATTGACTGGCCAGTTCCATTACGGTAGTTTCCACTGCCCTAAGGATCACTGCCCTAAGGACCACTGCCCAAGATTCACTTTTCTGTATGCTTCTCCTTGGAATCCAAAAACTTTCCATTGTTTCTCAACCACAGACATTTTTATTTATGCCTGCCGAGTGCAGAAGTGTGAATAACTTAAAATGATGTGTTTTTTTTAAGAGTTGAAACTCCCATCCTCTTACTCTAGAATCTTTCAATATTTTTACCCCCAAATCTATGCAGCATTAGATTTTTCATGTAGGAAGGGAGAAATTATCCAGTAAAAAAGGGAGTGTACTGAATGGTATTGGATCTCTCAGTTACTAAACTTAACAAGTGTTAGGAGTTGACCCCAGACAATAACAACAAGCAGTAATAATAATGGGTAAAATGTATTATATTCTAAGTGTGTCATGTGAATTAAATCACATAATCCTCACTCACAAAAAAACTTGCTTTCCCCATTTCACAGATGAGAACACTGAGGCACACAGAGGCCAGATAGCTTACTCAGACTCCCTTGGGAAGGAGATTATTGATGTAAAGTTGATATTGATAATTTGCCTACAAAAACCTTCAGCTCCCCCTTCCCCATACACTCATCAAGCTGAGATGTTACAGTCCCACATTTATGCATTATGACTCTGACACTTCCTTTCAGGTCGTAGATAATTGATTTTAAAAGGTGGATCATCCAAGGCTGGGTCCGACGTTTCCTTTCTCCCAAGATTGTTGGATTTGTCTTAGGGTCGGAGTGGCCCAGAGGCACATACCTGATGCAGGAGGAGGCTGGGAGGCTGACAGGAGAAGCGGCACTGTAGAGTGCAGTGGGGATCAGAGGGACCCTCGGTGAAAAGGAAAGCGCAAACTCTCTCAGCCCGTTGCTCCCCAGTTCGTGTCTGCAGGAGCCCCAGATGCCCGAATTGCAGTTGAGTTCCCTGGGAGACCCCGTGGCTTTCTACCAAAACCCTTCTTGCTTTTTCTTAACCACACTTGAGTGCATTCCTGTGATGTACAATGAAATGATTCGTAAGAAAACTGCCATTCTTCTCTGAGGGGCTGCTGCTCTGCTGCACCCAGACCCTCTCTGAAGTGCTACCCCAAAACGCATGTTCATGCGTGGCCTTCCAAAGCATCCAGCGTATTCCCCCAACACTGACACTGTCATCGGAAGGCATGGTTGACCAAGGGTGAAAACAAAGATGCTAATACTGCTTGCTACCAACAAGAGTAGGATGGGTTTCAACAAGACAGGTTACGTCAAATCACCCATCGTGGTGCTTGGCAGATCACCGTCTCCTAAATGTTTGTTTACCTTCTGTTCCCTTTATTCAGTAAACATTATGTAACTATGGGTTCTATATGTAGTCTGTTAAAACCAATGGAAATCTCCTGCTTGCCTGACTATGTGGATGCACGTTAAATTTGGGTCTCTATTTTCATTTGGAGAAATAGGCAGTGACACAACGTGGTTAAAAGGCGAGTCGGGGCCCTGGCGTCTGGGTCGTGGAGCGGGCTCTTGCGGTCACCTTTGCAAATGGGCTCCATGGCCCAGCGTCCCCGTCCCCGCCACCTGTGATCCTGCACCGAGGCTCTCTTGGGGCCAGCTCGGGGCCAACCACGACTCCTCCTGGCGCTGCCTGGGCTCCACTTCCAGTAACAGCTCCTGTGCTGGTGCAGGGTACCCTGGGGAAGCCATCCCGCAACACCCGGGCCTCCCCAAGGCCGACCCGGACACTTGTGGGCTAGTTTCTTTTGCAGGAAGTCCACTCTCCCATTCGTGGCCACAGTGTTGGAGTCCCCAGAGCGCTCTGAATCGCCCCAGACGTCCACCAGCACCATGACCGGCGAGCTGGCTCGGGAAGCCATGGGGAAGCAGCAGCCTGGCGGCCAGCCTGGCGAAACCAACTCCGGGCTCCCCCGTCCTGAGTGGCCGCCACCAGCTGCCAGGCTTCCTTCCAAGGCGCCAGGCTTATCAGAGTCCCCCCAACCCCAAATCCCCTTCCCTCCCCTCCCCGAGACCAAGCAGGCTACAGGCAGCAGAAACAGTTGGGTTCTTTAATATCAAAACAGCAAAGCACCAAAAAGGAAGTTGAGAGAACCCTGCTCTTTAGTACCCAGGCCACACGAGAGCCTTCCTGACCCCTCATAACCCTGTGCCTTGCACCAAGTAGAAAATAAACTCCAAGCAGCCATCAGTTAATTAATTAATTAATTAATTAAAAAATAAAAAGGGTGCCTGCGGAGGTCGGAGTGGTAATACCTCACTGGTAGAGTGCATGCTTAGCATGCGCAAGGTCCTGGGTTCAATCCTCAGTAACCCTATTAAAAAATAAACAAATAAACGTACTCTCCTAAAACAAAGGGAAAAAATATTTTAAAAAAAAGAGGAGTGGGGGAGTCGAATTGACAGCTAATAACACATGTGATGGTTAATCTGATGTCAACGTGGCTGGGCTAAAGGACGCTCAGGTAGCCAGTCGAACATTATTTCTGCGTGTGTTTGTAGCAGGTTTTTAGGAGAGATTAGCACCTGACTTGGTAGGCTGAGTAGAGAAGAAGGCCCTCACCCACGTGGGAGGGCATTACCCCATCCTTGAGGGAGGAAGGGCGAATGCACTCTGCTGGAGCTGAGACATCCATCTCCGCCTGCCTTGGGACATCAGCACTCCTGGCTGTCAGGCCTTTGGGCTTGGACTGAACTACACCCCAGCTTTCCCGAGTCTCCAGCTTGTGGAGAGCAGAGCACGGAACCTCCCAGCCTCCAAAATCACGTGAGCCGATTCCCATAATAAATCTCTCTCCCTCAATATATATGGAGATATATATCTATAGTAAATAATATATATATAATAATTCTCTATCTGTATATCTGTATCTGCATATCTCTGTCTACTTCAGAGTTCTCTAGGAAAACAGTTGGGTTCTATTTTCTCTGGAGACCCCTGACTGATACCTAGAGGCTTAGAACAGTGCCTGGCTCAGAGAAAGAGTTCAGGGACTGTTAGCATTAATTATCATTTTTATTATCATCATTACACCTCTGACCCTTTTCCTTTCTCAGTGGCATCATTTCTGCATCTTTAGTGCTAACCATCTTGTTCTCCAAGTTCTGTGCAAAGATGTTACTGACGAGTAAGTTTGATTCACAGTAGCTGCCTGGGTTCCCATTCTCACAGCTAAGGTTACCAGACTCGCTACATCTTATTTGCTTGCAAATCTTATTTTTGCCTCTGTTTCTCCAAGAGATACAGCAGAACACTCAAGGCTTCTGTATTTGTTTTGTGTGCCACTCTTCTATCTTATAAAGAGTTGCTTATCAAAGACATTTTCATAGAACTAAGTTTAAATTTACTTTTCAACTGTTTACCTTTTCCAAGGTTCTTTAGTGAATGAGGGTGTACATCTCAAGATAAAGGAGATGATCGTTTATGGTAATGCTCCCCAAAATCTAGATAGCCAGTGGTGCAGCTCTCCAGTCTTCTGCTTTTATTTAACATCAAAGTATCATAGAAAAGAGGGGAAGTAATGTTTTGAAAAAAAGTGTTCTATACAAAATCCAACAGAAAGCAGTGACAGGAAATATCAGATTGTATGTTACTTTAAGGCAAGGCTATAGCATCTTTTTGGTAACTTCACCAGACACAGCAAATGTTGGCTGAACTAACTGGCATTGATTCTGCTCTTAATACGTTAGAAACAGAACTTCTCCCCTCAACATATAATTAGTGTATTTCTTCAGTGCAACAGGATAAACGGAGACTGCTAGGCGTTTACAGCAACGCTATCATTTCATTTTATAGAAAAGTGATACAAGTGGAAAGGGCCGACAAGCCATTGGTTCATGCTGTGTAAACCTACGCAGGGACCAAGTCCTGTGACGTCCCTTTCAGTGGAGATACTATTGTGATTTGATGTCACAAAACATTACCCTTCTCTGACAGACGTTATAAGCCAAACTGCTTCTAGGAACCAGTCCGCCGCAAAGTGACAGAAGTCCTGTATCCTCATCAGTGTCCGCACTGGGAAAGGTTTCAGCTCTCATCTGTCACACTTACTGGATGTACATAATGTCAGTTGCAAGGCCTACATTTTGTAATAACAAGGTGTCCAGGTGTTCTGTTGACGTCCAAGCTCAGAGAGCACAGGCTGCCATGTCGTGGGAAAGGAAGCCACCAGGAAAGGCAGCCAGTTGCCACGTAGGTGGGTTCAGTCTGATGCGAGACATGCACGTGTGCAAGGGGCCACTGAGTTCAGTTTGAAGGTGTGGTCAGTAGAAAGAACCAACAGGTCACACTCGCCCAGACTGTCCGTGCGGAGCAGCCTTCTGAGTAGAACCATCGCTAAGAGCAAACAAGACTAAGAACAACCTTTGGACACCGGGTTCTCCAAACCACACTTTCATGTCTCTTTCAGAAACCCCTGTGGATATAGGGGGCCTTCATGAGAGTCTGAAAAAAGCATCTCTTCTGGGTGGACAGTTAGGAAAAGGCTGCTTTCTAGTTGGATGTGCCACTTACCAATCTCTGGCCTCTCAGCCACAAGCCCGCTTTTCCTTGCCCTGCTGATGATTCTGGAACATTTCCCCCCTTGCCAACCGGCACTAAATAAGCCTGTTAACAGCAGGTGCTGGAGGGACACTGGAGGCAAAAGTCCCTCTTTTGGATCTGTTGTGGGCTCTCTTTTGGCAGGTGTGGCCATGGTATCTTCCTCCAGTTCTCCAATGGTGGCTTTCCAGCAAGTTCCACTCTTGCCGCAGTTAGCAAACTTCTCTGCCGTTCAGTGGACCCTCACCTGCTCTCTCCAGCAAAGCCTGTATCTCAGCCCTGGTGGACAGGGGTCTTCCTTCTAGATTTGTCTCTTACTTGGGTGCTTTTCTTCAGCCACAGAGGTAGTGGTTCACCCTACATCAGTTAACGTTGTATTGTTCCAACTTCTCTTTACCCTGAATAGCCAACCCTCTGTTACTCCAATCCCCTGTTGTAGTTAATTATTCTTCTTATTAAACTTTCCCTGTTCACATTATGTAAGGTTTCTGTCTCCTGAGTGGACCCTGGCTGACACAGTGGATGAATTAGAATGGCGACCCTTTAGACAAGGTTTAGTGAGTAAAGGTGCCTTTGTACAAAGGACAAAGGATATTCCACTTGCTCCATGAGCAAGGGCTGCACTTCGGCCCCCATTTGCTTCAGCACATTGGTGGGCCATCTTTGAGTTCTTGCCCAACCTGTGCACCCATCAGGAATCGTCCTTGTCCGGACCACTGAACTTCTAAAAATTAAAACATGAATTGCTGTGTCTCTGCTTGCAGGATGCCCTCAGGCTAGTAGAAGAGACAGACAAGTACACAGACAATGGGAAGTAGGCTTCAACGGAGGGAAGCACAGGTTACCATGGAAAAATAGAGGAAGGAGACCCTGTTTCTATTACTGCATAGAATACTCCAAAACACAGGGGCTTAAAACAGCAGTGAAATATTTATCATCTTACAGAGCTTCTATGCATCGGGAATTTGGGAGTGGCTTAGCCGAATGATTCTGGCTTGGGATCTCCCATGAGGTCATAGTCAAGGTGTCAGCCAGGGCTGCAGTCACTTAAAAGCTCTACTGGGGCTGCAGGATCTACTTGTAAGATGACTCACTTGCTTGGCTGGCAAATTGACACTAGCTGTTGACCTAAGGCCTCACAACCCTGACCTCTCCGTAGAGATGATTGAATGATTTCAAGACAAGGCAGTAGGCTTCTCTCAGAGCAAAGGATAAAAGAGGAAGCATGGTAGGATTTACTATTTTTATTATGGCATAGCCTCAAAAGTCACATATTTGACAATTTCCTGTAGGTTAACACAGGTCAGCTTTACTTGATTTGGGAGGAGACCACAAGAGTGTGACTGTCAGGAGGTGACATGATGGGGGGCCATAGTAAAGGCAGAGCTCCTACAACAAGCCAGAGGCGGAGGGCTTCCTGCCAGAGAGAATATTGGAGGTGAGTGTGGCAGCCTGCGTTAACAAGTGATGCAGAGTAGCAGCATGTTCCGAGCAAAGGTGTCAGCAGGTGCACAGGTCTGGGAGCTGAAAGGCAAGAGCAAGTGTTTCACTCTGTTGTAAGTTTCAGGGGTTTGAGGTAGGAGGGTGGTGCTACGTGAATGCAGTGAGAAGTGAGGCTGGATAAATTGTCAGAGGTAAAATCACAGAGGACCTTGTGCAGCATTTTACTTGGAGGAGATGGGTAGCCGTGGACAGATTTTAATCAGGGTAATGATTCTTAAAACTTACGTCTCGAAAGAAAGCCACTCAGATTCAGCGCACTTATTGCAGTGTTAATTTCCAACTCTTCTTAGAAGCACAAGTACCTTCAGTGGGGACCTCCTGCCTTTTACTTTGTTCTTTCTCTGGTTTGCTTGTCCTGAAATCTGAAGCATTAAGGGGTGCAGCCGGGGTGAATTGAGAAGTTAGGTTCCAGGTTTCTACAGCCTTCCTGGGAAGTCCCCTTTATGGGTCTGCTGGCTTGCTGGCTGTTGCAGGGACCGTGGCTGAAAACAGACTAAGTGGTATCAGCTTCAGTCAGTGACGTGCTCGAGTCACCAGACATCATTTCTCTGAAAGGCCATTTGATACAAGTGTCCGTGTGGAAGGCCAGCTGGGGATTCTTTGGTCTTTCCAGCTGTCATCGTACACAGGAAAATAAAGCTGTCAACAGTAGCATTTTCAAGGATGAAGAACAAGAGTGTATATATAATACAAGCTATGTTACACATACATGTATTAGAGATATAAGGTGTAATTTATATTACATGATACATAGTATATATGAATGTAAACATAAATAAATATGTTTTGTTAGGCCTGAGACCCTGGATTAGGAAACATTATGTGACTCTTCCAGGAACAGAAGTAATCTGTTAACGTCAATTTCCAATTTTCCATAAAAGAAGGAATAAGACAGAAAATTAAAATCCCTACATAATCCTCACTTTCATTTCTATTGTCATAGTCTTCTCTTGAAAGCACCTTAGAGGTGTAAATAAGTCAGTTTCCGAGGAACAAATTGCCTAATTTTAATTCTTTCTACTAACTCATTCACATGCCTTGGCAATTTACTTTCCCTTCTTAAGACAACTGGCTCACTGCATAGTTAGGGAGCAGGCATGGGTAGCCTTTAAAAGTCTCTTTCAGATTGGAATTTCATTCTTC